GAAACTATTAATGCCAAATAAAAGAATACTACAGAGACCAGTGAATAGGGTTTATCCTCTAGAAATACATAGCTCAGAGAATAACGACCGCGAATCACTCGCAGTAAGTGATCCATGCACGCCAAATGAGACGCGAGGTCAATCTCAGGTACAGAGTCCACCTCATTTACAACCATTGCGCACTGACGCAATCGATACCCGATACGGCGATAATCCGCCAACATCCACGGCGGAGCCCACAAACACGGGTGGCAGAAGAAATCCAACGCGAGCATCAAAAACTCGAGCATACGACACAATTCAAAGATTTGAACAAAGTCTTGACGAACCATGTTGTTCAGGAACGTCTTCAGCATTAGTTATGCTGGCAATAATGGTAAATCTGGCAACTACAACATTTGCTGTACCAGCAAATGTTTCATGCCAATTGGGACAAGTTCAAATTCGCCCACCAAAAGAATACTACGAACTTTGTTTCAATGATCACTGCAAATCTTTCAATAGAACGGATTTGCAAATTTTCAATCTGCCAAAAACACCGACAGATAAATTTACTACTGTTCAACTAAGAACTTTCGAAAAAGGTACAGTAATCTCAGAAACAAGGGTATGCGAACCACCAAAATTCTGCGATGAAGCGAAAGTGTTTACCAAACACCTGCTTGGAAATCCACACTGCTGGCCGATCGGGGCTATAATTTCAGTTGCAATTATTGTATACTGCATTATCACAACCGTAATGATTAGCGTGTGGTCATGTCGGAAAGTGCACAGGAAAAGACGTCCTAGACCAGAAAACTCCTTCCAGAGGCAGATGGAAACACATCAGGAATCCCGGCTGATGGACTCGTTTAATCCAATCCCACTACGCACGACGATAGCAATATGCGCAGTTATGTTACTGTGTTCAAAGGAGGCTCACGCATGCCAACATGGGTACATGCGCCATACGACTGAGCTAGTGTGCACCAACGAAAACATGTGCTCCCACGAATACGATCAAGAAGTTCTATTCAACCATGTGGACTCCGAAATTTGCATTGACATAATGCACGCCAACAAGTCTATTGGATTGATAAAAATCACCAAACGCTACATGAAAATGAAATGTGCAAAAATTTCCCACTATTTCACCAGGGAAACCGCTTACCAAATATTCCACATCACAAGATGTGCCCAAGCAGGATCGTGTACACTGCATAAATGTAATACACTAGCTCCTACGGACATAATTGACGAGTTCAACGAAACCCGAATTTATCCGGGTTATTCCACATGTGTTCCAACATGCGGGGGACTGCAATGCGGCTGTCTACTACCTATGCCTGCTTGCGCGTTTATGCGGATAACACACATCCCACTGACAGAATCAGCTTACGAAATTATCAGCTGTTTGGACTGGGAACCAGTCATAGAGCTCGAAATAGTGACTCAGATACAAGACCGGAAGAAAGTCGAGAACATCACTTTGATACCATATACGACACAGGAAATAAGTAAAATGTCGATAACAGCGATTACACTACAAAAACCTCACTATCCTTTAATGGAGCAAAGGTTTGCGCTAGCAACAAATGAAGCATTTTCAGTACCGCACAACTATGTGCTCCCAGTACAATGTGCTTCCAAAAAAATGGCAACCGAAGAGTTCGCTAAATGCACAGACCATATGATATGCATGTGCGAAAATCCACAAGCCCCACATACGTGCCATTGCCCGGACAATGCATTTGCAAAACTGAGATTCGAGCGCTCAAACCATCTGCCGATCTCAACAAGTCTCATGGAAATTAGATTCGAGGATTTGGAATTATACACTTATACACATGAAGGAGAAACAACGCTGGCGATAAAATCATCCTTGATGCTTGATAGTGCAAGCTACATAGTTATCGAGCCATGCAAAATAACACCACAAAAGTTGGTCGGATGTTACGAGTGTACTGAAGGTTCCACACTGGATGTTGCATGTTTCGCACAAATTGAAACATGGGTAACCATACAATGTGAAACACAAGTATTCAGTATACCCTGCGACAAAAACAACAGGTTGTCGAACATAACAATGGAATTTGACCATGCAGTGATACATGAGAAATGCCACACACGGTGTGGAAATACGGAACAAGTATTTACTCTGGAAGGCACACTACACTACCATCCAGATAATACATCAAATTCAATATTTGAATCCATCGAACCCGATATCAAAAACAACTGGTCAAATCTAGTAAACGTACCAGATCTCCAGCCCTTGGTAAATACAGTTAAAAGCCACTGGAGAGCAGCTCTAGCAGCTATAGGAGGAATATCAGCAATGATAGGCATCACGTACCTATTTGGACCGGCCGCGTTGATGCTAATAGTTCGAATATTATGGACCTTAGCACTAGCAGTCGCAAAGGTCGCATGGCAGGCAATGTGCCTCGCCATCAACCTGCTCCGCGGAGCAATCAATACAGTTCGGGTCATCCGACAACACACGGAAAATCCAGCTAATTAAGCGTTGCCACCAAACATGCAATGCACCCGGTTGTAAATAATAAAAAATATCATATTAGTTTAAAAAACTCCTTTTCGGCAGCCTCAGAAATAAAGAGGCGGAGCTTAACAGTACCAGCGGCCAGGACCAGCTGGCGGTAGAGGCGGAGCCTAAGAAAAAACCATATAAAAAGACCGCATTTACAACAGGGCTATATTCACAATGCCCGAATTCAACTATCTGCTCGACGGTGATTCCACCCAAGATAGCTTCTCCATCGTGCTCAAAACCATCGAGTGCAGCGAAGAGAAGACCGCCAATCTGCTACACTCCATCCTCCAGGCAATCAACATCCAGCTGGACGCTAGATTGTCGGCCATGGAACAGACCCTCAACACTATTTTAGAGCGGAATGCCCCTAAGAAGCAATGTGTCTTCTGCATTCCGCAGGAAAACACGGATGGGCATGTTTCCGCTAGATGCAATCGCTACCCCGACCCTTTGTCTCGGGCGATCCAAGTAACCAAACTGGGGCTGTGCGAGCGGTGTCTAAAGGGATCACATCCCGAAGACTGTGGGGCAGCATGCAGTATCTGCCAGCTTCCCCACAATGCGCTCATGTGTCCGTCAAAGGCACATACACCAAAGCAACCCCACTACAAGAGGAGGAAGTTTCACCGCTCTCCTTACTAAATTTTTGCGGCCTTATTGTTCCTGCCTACTGCTCCTCCATAATCTCTGCCATCACCAGAACAACGGATATCGCCTACTGTTCCTACCGTATTCCTGCCCCTACTCCACCACAACTACACCTGCCTACTGCTCCTGCCCATTGCTCCTGCCTATTGCTCCTGCCTATTACTCCTGCCTACTGTTCCTGCTTACTGCTCCAGACACTAACGCACTCGGACGCAAATCGCACCAACTCCAACCACCAACGCACTCCAACGCAACTCGCACCAACCTCAACCGACGCTCCATGACGACGCATGAGGATGTACTCTATGATAGTATTTCAGTTATGTCGAAATTTTTGTTGTTGTTATTGTATTGTTGCCCCCCCCCCGGCCGGAGTGTTCGGCCATCTGCCCGAACCCTACCATAAATCACCCGCCATAAAAGCGGGCGGGTTCGGGGGGCCGGGGATTAGCGGGGCGACAGCCTTGCCAGTCCACAATAAAACGTTGTAAGGAACGGTTGTGTGCTCACATCGTAGCTGCCAGATACACTGGCACACTAGAGTTAGCACGATTTCGAGCCTCAAAACTCAGCTTCCGAAGCCGTACAATGAAGTAATAAGCATATAGTATATAGAAGTTCACAAAAATGTTTGTTTGGCTAGAAAAAATCAGCAGCGTTGAGCTGTTTTGGCCACGCAGACGTCATTTCACCAAAACACTGTTTTTACTATTGCAATCACACCTTTATTTGGTTTGTAGCTCCATAGCCCCAAGATCAGTTCTACAAAAAACCCAAAAACTTTGGCACAGAAACATCATCATACAAACATCAGTGCAGCTGCTTCATATCAAATGTTTGCGCAAGAGAGAAGTTGAGTTTTAAGGCTCGAAATCGTGCTAACTCTGTGGTAAGGTTGGAACTTGGTTGAAAAACGGCACGAAAACGCAAAGATGTTCCAAGCGTAAAATAAAACAAACAAAATACCTATCGAAAGAGCTTATTTTATCTCATAGCTTTGGTAGAAGCTAATTAGAGCGCGTAAACCACAGAAGAATGGATGTTTTGGGCCCCGGACAGACTTCACGCGATTTGATCGTCGCGACTGAATCGCGACGAGACAACTGTTACAACATCTTTCCATGCCGATCAACTTGCATGATGTTCGTATAATAATGAACAGCTAAAAATTCGCATTAGGCGCAAAAACGCTCCTAAGATTGTCATTCATTTCCATTCTTATGGATCATATACCGTTTTCGGCTGTGTTCTATCGCGTGGTACCAACGGCTTTTTGAGTTTCTCCCAAATAGTCCGAAAACTTACAAAGTGTTCGTATAATTATGAACCGCACTTTATAGCGACCCATCGTCAGGTATATCTCAAGCCTTAGTCTGGCGCCTACCTTACCGGACTCAGATGTTCCGAATGCCCGGCACTGGCGAGAGCCGTTTGAACAGGACACTGCGAATGAGACATCATGTAGTTAATGAAGTTCATGTGCCCTTACCATGTCCTCTAAGGTGCTAACCGATCGCATAGTTGGACTAGTTGAACTGACAATCCATCTAGTATGAGATATTCAGTATTTCATGAGTTTTCCTTTGTCGGTGCTTTCATAGAGACGAATCCGCTTTTAATGCCCGTTCCGTTTTCCCGTGTTACGCAATGCATCTGTCAAAAAGAACGTGCTCTAATACCAGTGAATGCTCTAGCACAACGCAGACAAACCTGAAAAATTTCTTCAATGAAAATTCCACCTTGGAACTTTTCCTGTTGCCTGTTTCTTGGTTTTATGGCACAAGTATATTTGCTAACAGATTATACAAAAGATTAATTCAGGATGTCACATGGTGGAGGTGACTCACCAAATCCACAATCCACGCCACCGGATTCTCTTTCCGAAAATCAGATGACGGAGGAGGTAATATATTGTGCTATCGGAACTATAACTCAAAACGAATGATATTCAGGATATGTTCCGCATCAAAAGTATCGCAAGAGGTACTGCAGGATCATTTAAAAGAGGTGAGATTCATTTTTTTCCTATTTGCCAGTTAAAAGAGGTTTCGGATGTTGTCTCTGAGATCTGCGTCTCACTTCATTTTTTATTTGATAAGATTCAATTCTAGGGACGAGCGATACTGCTGATCAATCAGTCATCTCCCTAGCCGATTCTGCTAGTAATTTTGGTGACCATGTCGGAGACGAATTTGATGAAGTTGAAACGATAGAGAGCGAAAATAATTTGTCTACGGATCTACAGGTTTGTTCGCGCAAAGTTTAGAATTTCGTTTGCTTTCAATCAGTATAGATAGTATATATCTAAGTGTTTTTGAACGCTTGCTTCCATTTGATATTGCAATTTTGTATTATTTTGTACTACTTCGGTTTAGATACGTTTCTTGCTTTCAGAGTCGGATTTTCGACGGGTGGATGTTTGATAGAAAACGACCATCAAACATACAACTTCCCAAAGATACCGGTCAGCCCTGTTTTTTTTCTCAACTTACCTTTTCCAGATAGTCTTCCTTTACAAGCGTTTTAGTTACCATTCTAAACTTCCCCAAAAATGTGCCGATACCTCCTTGCCCAGAAGGGATTGATCCAAAAAGTTGGAAACAAGCCTTCGAAGAAGCAACAGTTTATCTGATAGGCACGGCTCATTTCAGGTATCATTCAGACATGGTCATCTTCATCAAATAAAATATGTAATATTGCAGCCGGGAGTCTCAAGACGACGTCATCAAGACTATCACGGCTACTCAGCCAGATCTTGTCATGGTCGAGCTTTGCCCTAGCAGAATATCAATATTATCAATGGATGAGCAAACTTTGTTGAAGGAAGCCAGTGATCTCAACACTCAAAAGATTATTACTACTATCAAACAGGTACAGCTGCGAACACTTCATGATCTTCTCTTTTCCTTCGTTTTTTGAGTGGTTCAGTTGATTTCTTTTCAGAGCGGCGTTGTGCAAGGAGTCTTACACGTTTTGTTACTTTCAATGTCAGCTCACATCACGAGAGAGCTCTCAATGGCACCTGGTGGAGAATTCCGAGCTGCTCATAAAGCAGTGATGCAGACGCAGGTAATTTTTTAGCTTTTCTGATTTTCATGTTGCGTTTTTTCGAAAGAACTTATTTCTTAGTTTACCTCTTTACTTGAACATGCCCGTCCTTTTTTTTGATTTATATCAGACTGGATTCTCTTGACGTCATCGAAACTCCTATAACTTCCTCTTTATGCTCTCTGTATAAAAATTAATTTTGTTCCTACCCCGTAAACACTGAAGGGTAGGCCCTTTCGACTGCTCTCAATCTAACCAATCTTTGGAATTTTGATTATTGTACTAGTTTGTTGCCATGGGAATCTAGGAACGCAAATGAACTGGCAGGTGACGAACCTATGTATCCTGCTTATCAAGCTGCGCTGCATATATTGTGCTTGTTGGCCATTCATTTTGCTCCTTTAGAATGATTAGTTTCAATTCCTCCATGACTCAGTGACCTAGGTGGTGTTTTACCTTTGCATAATCATGAATTTTTGTAGCTAGGTTTTATACATCTTTTATCTCTAACTAGTCGCCTAATCCCGTGATTTGAAGCGCTATTAGAATATAAGGCTTTTTTGTTGAGCGCTGTGCTCAGCAATACTTAGGTTACGTTTCTGCCTTTGGTTGCTCGATCGGTTGCGCGCCTAATCAAAGTAGGAGAATTTCTTAATTTGTAGCAGACGTTTTATGATCACTCTAGTTTTGCGTTCATTAGTACCTCTGATTTTACTCGAACGTTCCATTTCAGAAATTACTCGATAAATAGAGTAGAATGCTGTGCAAATTATGATAGTGCATTTGCCCTTTAGTAAATCGATGTACTTCTTTGGTGTAAAGGGCAATGGAATTCTTTTTCTGTAGTTTATGGGTTATCTACAGAATTCTTTTTGATTTTGGCTTTCTAGCTCTGCCGTTTGGTGCTAGGAGACCGACCCATCCATGTTACTCTTCAACGTGCTTTGGGGTCACTCAACCTGTGGCAGAAAATCAAGTTTTTCTGGCACGTTGCGTTGTCTCATAATACTTCGATAACAGCTGAAGAGGTAATTTACCCTAGACTACGTATTCTACCAGTATTTGTTATGATTTAGGTTGAATTCTACCAGATCTGTTATGATTTAGGTTGAAAAATGCAAACAGAAGGATTTGCTCGAGCAACTGCTCGCCGAAATGGCCGGTGACTTCCCCAAACTCAGCAAAGTAAACGTTCCCATCCTTCTGGACTATCTTCTTCCATAATCTTAATCTTTCTACAGATTTTTGTTGATGAGCGGGATGCATATATGACACACGCCCTACACTCTCTTTTGATAAAGAATACGCTTGAAAAACGGCTGTCATGGGAGCGTACCGACGTGGATTGGCAACCTCTTAGGGTAAATTAACATAGATTAAATTCAACTTACATATATCGTTAACCTGTGTTTGTTCCTTACTTTTCTTTTCTTGTTCTCGTTGCAACTCCCACTAGTAACAGTTCAAAGTTTTAGAAGTCACCGTATTGTGGCACTTAATATTCCCACTATTTCATTGGCATGCTATTTAGGTCGTAGCCGTTGTCGGTATCGGTCATACACCTGGAATTGCTGCTCATTGGGACAATCCAGTCGACATTGCCCCTCTTCTACATGTCCCTCCACCGTCTACCTCAGCAAAGGTTGGCGTTTTCGTTTTCTCAGAAATTAATAGCAAACCTCTTTTTACTATGCAGGTTGTAAAATTTGCCTTCCGAGCAGCTTTTTGGGGAGCTGTTGGATTCCTTCTTTACCGTGGAGGAATTCGAGTTGCAAGGAGACTCCGCTGACCTTGAGTTTTCCTAGCGTTATTGTTGATCGTTCGTCTACATCAGATCCACTCATCTTGTTTTTGCCAAAAACCGCTTTCAGATGTGAAAGTTACGTACCACTAGCATTTTGTGTGTTTTGTTCTTATTTTTCTCTTGATATGTGACAATGGTCTGGCTAGTACATATTATCTATTCAATAGGGTACAATCGGGCTTCGCCTCTTTTTTGATGACGATAGTTTCTTTCTCGGTTTAGGCCGGCGTGTAAAGATTTGTTATACGTTTCAACTTTCACTTATTTATCAGTACATCTATTAGTAGAACCTACAATGGTTCCCTTGTTTTCTGAAACGGTTTTTGTTCAACTTTTTATAACGATAAATATGATATGCATGTGTGGCTCATGATTTGGTGTTCATTGCATGAGTATCTCGAGAAATTTATCGAATAGAGTCATTCTCACGTAGCAGTCACATCACTTGTTTATTCAGTCCGCATAATGAGAGAACAATGGACAGTAAATTCTGATCTCATTTTTGAGGTGAGTCACATGCCGTTTATGTTGTATCACTTTTATGGTTTTTTTGTTTGATATTTTTTGTGAGATCCATCAGCAGATTGATGTTAGAATTTATATTGTAAATTTCTAGATTTCACTTTAGTCTTGCTTTTAGAATTACCGTAATCTGCGGAGTTGGTGTGATGAACAGTCTCAAATCGGTGGTCTTGTATTTGGAAGACCGGCAAGGAAAGAAGTAGTTTTGGTGCTATTTGCTGTAGCAGAGAATCTCAACAGCTCCACCTTGGAATTTGTACTGAACTGCTTGAGTGCAGGTAGTATTGAATTCTATTACTGACGAATTCTATTGATACAAATGCTTTAGATGTTAGTCTCATTGGTAATGTTAGCATCGACGGTGAAGATGCTCCATTGTTGGGAGATGGATTCACGCTCGTAACAAGCAGGGAAATTCTGCATAACAGCGACGCCACAACTTTTTTGGTTCAAAATGATCTCCTGAAACATAGCTCTCTTGTAGCAGATGGATTGTCACTTAGAGCTCAGGTGAGTCTCCTTTTATCTCCAGAGTCCATATTAGCTTAAATAATTCAAGGTTGGTCTTTCCTTTGCTCTTCGCAGTGGTTGCGAGAGCGAGGATCTCAGAAATAACGCTGAGAAATTTGTGTCAGGACTGAGACAATTAGCGTTTGCCTCTGCTGACAGAGAACTTTTTCTGCGTCAAAATATGGACCGAACTTCAACCGATAACCAGCGTCAGAAGTTGGATGATAAGTCGCGTGGTGCGCTACAGTATAAGGTTTGTAGGTCTCCTTTCTGGGCATGCGTCCGTAGTCTGCGTAATTGAACTGTTCAGGATTCAGTGGAACTTAGCTCTTATCGTAGCCTTACATCCAGCGAAAAAGACGACTCCGAAGACCAGAAGATGGTGCCAATTGTTCGTATCACCCGAGGTCAGTTTTTAGCTTTTTTTAAGTTTTTTTGCAAGATTTGTAAGCTCTCAGTTTTTTTAACGTCTGTAAGTGAAGGCCCATGCTCTTATTCATCTCTGATGTGCAGATTGTGGATTTTGGGCCAGAGGAACGACTTCATTTAGGCACCTCCTCCGAGGCTTGCTGGTCCTTTCGCTCCTCTACTGTTGTACATCGTGTGAAGACCAGTAGTCTGCGGAAGGGTGCCTAATTGAGGTATTCATTCCTCTATCTGACTTTCGAAATCTTTTTGAACTTCCAGGTGAAGCAGTGCGCAAAGATCGTGATTATATGCTAAAGATGCTATTGTCTTTGAGAAGCGCTCATTTCAGACGGAACAAAATACACTCGTGTCCGGAAAGCCCTCGAAGTCGCTGTCCCAGCTGTTTATGGAGACGATGCCAGTGCTTTATATGAACGACTGCTTGAAGGTGTACGGCGTAGAGTGTGCGGAATGATGAATGTGATGCTAGATGGGTTGGCTAATCAGGTATTATCAGCAGAACTTTTCGATTCCTAGGCTGTTAGGTATTTAATCTTCAAGTCTAAATCTGTTAAGGGTGCTGTTTATCCCACGGTTTCACATACTTTTCTTCCCACTGGCTGGTCAAGCCTTCTTCATCTGGAGACTCCCATATGTAGCGAGAAAGAGCAGCGTAGGTTCTTCTATTACAGAATTTTCTCGAGTAGTACAGGGATCTAGTTCTAATCGTTCAGATTCATTTCGCGTACGCTTACACAAGCTTTTCAACCTGCCGCTAAATGCTCCTGCACTTCGCCCGGCTCAGTCCATTTCATTTGCACCCACAAAGCTATTGCGCTCACCGCATCTCCAAATAAAAAATTGTTAGTTTTGGTTTTATATCACGCCGTTTTGACCGAACGCTTTAGTTTTTTTTCAATTTTTTCCTTTTCTGTTGTGAAATTTTGACATTTGTAGCTAACGAGAGCATATGTGCAGTTTGTAGTGTAACTGTCTGGACTTTTGCACTCAAATATACAAAGCACTAAGGTAATATTGCTATTTAGACAAACCGCGAGGATTGGTAGCTACAGTGAAAGGTGATTATAACTACCATCATTATATGCAGGACGGAATGGACGATTCCGGTAAGTAGTACTATGGAGCTCGAAATGTGTTCTGCTGTATATGTGTATAGGGTGGGGTTGTGCCTATCGAAGTCTGCAGTCAATCTGGAGCTGGTTTATCCTCAACGGATTTACTGATAAACCAGTGCCAACACATTTGGACATTCAAAAGGTGGGTTCCTTCACCCCCTAAATATGATGCACTGACGTGTTTCTTCTAGTGTTTGGTGGAAATCAAAGACAAGGAAGAGAAGTTCATTGGCAGCAGGCAGTGGATTGGTAGCACCGAAATCGGCTTTGTGCTGGATCACATGCTCGGTTAGTATCTATGAAAAGATGTCGTTCACTCATACTTTTTGTTTAGGCTATGAGTCCAGATACATAATCACCAATTCCGGAAGTGAAGTGGCGGAACGAGCGCGGGAGCTGATGATGCACTTTCAGACTGTCGGGTCGCCGGTCATGATAGGTATTCTTTGTAATTATCTCATGTGGCTAGTTTTCCTTTCTCCTGCTCCGTTTTCTGTGTCTTTTATCTGCTTCAAGATAGAAATTTGCACAGACGATACTAAAGTACCTTTGTATCATCGTTTGTCGTGGCCTGTAAGATGAGGTTTAAACAATTGTTACCATGGTTGATCTATGCTATAAGAGATCTTTTGTCTTTTCTGAGATTTAGAAATTTGTAGAAACGTTCGTTTTGCCCGAGCACAAGAATATCTAGTGATTTTCAAGAGAAAGCTTCCTGTAAATGTTTGCGGTTTTCGCATGAAGACTGCAAGTATTGCTATTTATCAGGATACCATGCTTTCAGGAGGAGGACAGCTTGCCCATACGATTTTGGGTGTCGATTTTGATGAAAATTCTGGTGACTGTATGTTTCTGGTGTTGGATCCTCACTACACTGGAGGTGAAGATCTCAAGACTATCCTTACAAAAGGTTGGTGTGCATGGAAACCACCTTCATTCTGGCATGCAGAGTACTTCTATAATATGGTTTTGCCTCAGACGCCAACAAATGTGTTATGATTTTACTTACCTTGCCTTTCTCAATATCTCTGTTCATTTTTACCCAAGAGCGGATTAACAATCACGCTCAGAACTTTGAGGAGCTGAAAATTAGCTTCTTTCCTTTGAGAGAGGGCATACAAGGTGATGAAGAAGGCTCATTTTTCTCTTTTTCTCTAGGCACTGTGATATTGTTAGTTTCAACTTTTTAGCTACACCATCTGTTTCTCTGCCCTTTAATCGCTTCTATAAGACAATCTGCTATCTCTGGTCTGTATTTGTGCATGGGTATTATGTAATCTGATGTTTGTTGATCAAGTCTGTTGGAATTGGTGATTTTAGAACCTTACTATCAATACTTTCTCAGCAGCATAAATACAAATTTGCCCAAATTATTAGTTGTTTGACACAAGTCAAACCTAGAAGAGCTACTCTATCCAAATATGCTCCAAGTACGTAGCGATTTGAACTTAGTGTTAGTCAAAGATTTTGATTTGCAGGTTATAAATAATGCAGACGTAAAGTGATTTCTTTTGGCGAGGTTTGCAGTAAGAAAGACTTAATATTAGTAAGTACTTATAATGTATTTATTGTCAAGAAAATAAATCAGATATGTACAACATTGATATGGAGATAAATCCGTACTTGAGTTGATTTTGCGGCCAACACTAAGGAGATCACAATTCATAGAGAGCACTGGGCGTATAATGTCGTCCAGTTGTGGATAAAACTGACAAATATTCTTCTCGGCTGGATTTCAGCCACGGCAACCATCGAAACACATGCCGGAACCCGACTCGAAATCTATAAGGCATGGAATTGTTGAGAAGAGCGTTCAATTGTCGAAGTTATAGGATTTACCTCCTGTTCATGAAATAGTAGATTATAGGATTGAAGACGGTGGATGACATTCCCAACCAATAGATGTTAATGTAGATGTAAAGACCAGTCTGAAAATGATGGATTGTAAGCTTTTGCCATTAAAGAAATGGATATCATGATTACTGCACAAGAAATGAATGAGGGCAGTGATTGTCACACTGTGAACCAAAAAATTGCAGGAAATATTCACAAATCAATTAAATCAATGAATCACAATAGGAAGAAGTTCCATATCGGCATGCTAATCTCTGTCCCAATGGCAGTGTCACCAACTCGTGCGGCTGGGACCACGCGCTGCAGCGTCGCTGGACCGTGCGTCGCGTCTTCGACTTATACCTTGGGCATTCCCATGCGACTGAAGGCTGACGGCAAAATGCCTATACGCGAGCCTCCTCTAGAGAAGATGCGCAGGCTCGAGGTTCAAGCGAATCGGCCGCGGGATCCAAGCCGCACGAGACGGTTGACGCTAACACTGAGATAGAGGTTGAATGAATGCACATAGAAAAAGCTCACCTTTCTGTTCTCTGGAAGAGGCAGTATGCTGCTGAGCAGAAAATAGGCATTGTATGGCAGCCAAACCACCATAAATATGAAAACCACCAAAGCTAGCATAAATGCAGCCTAGAAAATATTTTTCAAATTTTTCACAGAAGTTACATCCATTGGTGGATCATTCTAGCACACATTTGGACAATACAATTCGACTACAGTCCTGTGACTGTCCATTAAACCCATCGATTTTTATTGTTTTTTTATTCCATTCTCCGGAAGCTCTTTTTGACATACTGGTGGCAAAATTTTTTTGGCATATCATGACGATGTTTTGGCAGTTTTGAAATTTGCTGTCCTTCAACAACTGATTTGTTACTCTGCACCTCTACCGTAGCGCTACCGTGATCCCGCCGTAAGCTCAGGTGGGGTTGCATGTGCGTCTTCCATGCCTCAAGCGTTCCCTATGTGTGCTTACTCATGTTCATCAAATCGTTTTATTTATGTATAACTTGCCTTCCTTTTCGCCGCTATAGACTTCGCATGTCGCGAGTCACCGACGGCTTGATCCCTTCGTAATACTACCCCGACGCGATAGTAGGCACATGTGAGTACCATCAGTGGTAGCAAATATTGCACTGCGATAAGGCCATTATTATATCTGTAATGAAATTTACGGTAGACGCTGACGTTGACTTCTTTTACAAGATCTATTTATTCGTTAGGTTGTTCCGAAAGTAAACTCGCTTTTTTTGAGCAAGCGCTACATTCCGCGGAAAAAGATCCATGCATATTGGAAGCTATTCGATGCAGTTTTTTATGCTCGGTTTTATATTTCTTGCGGTTTGGCCAGTGAGCTCTCAGAGAATTACCAAAAACTACAACACATGGTTTTTCTCATGGTCAAGTTTCGCTAGTTTTCTAGATTTTTATAGCGATCCCTCGAAAAAGTTTAAGTAACTTATGGATAGAGCAATTCCTACATGGAGCAAAACTCTTATCTCCTTTTTATACTAACCACAAATTTTTGATGGACTTTTGATTAAAACTGATCACTTCAGACACAAACGCATAAATTTGATGAATCTTCGAAATTCGCTTCAAAAATGGGTTATAGATAACACTTATTTTGCAAAACAAAGGAATATTCATAGATCAAAAATGTCAAATCTTGACTTTTCTGCCTAATCAAAAATGTCAAATCTTGACTTTTCTGCCTAAACCTTAAGCTCCTTCAAATATGAATTATTTTGATATTTTCCCTGAAGATTACTAATCGGGAACAAAAAACACCTTTTAGAAAGAAGAGGAAGGCTACATAAGTGCATCCGAGCTGCTCATTGCTTGTTGTTGTATTAGGTTTGAGCTGAGTGATTATGGAATTTTATAGCTTCAAAAAATAATCCGAGAAAATTCGAAAAGCTAGTGGCAAGAAAAACTGTTCTGTATCCCGTAGTGTTTGCTCTATCCATAGCGACATGGACTTCTTCGGAAGGAGGGGGGGGGGTTGACATGAATATGTAGAAAAATTAGCAGAACTTCACCATGGCAAAAACTATGAGTCGTAGTTGATAGAATTTTAAACACTTATTGGTCAAACTGTAATAAATAACCAAATGAGAGACCATGACATACTGCATCTAATGCTCCCAATATCTTTTGTACATTTGAGTTCGGCGTAGTGTGGTTCCTTTTCAAAAAAAGAAACGAAAAAACTTTCGTGGCCATCTAATATTTAGATTTTTCTTCGAACTAACAATAACGAGAGCGTACTTTAGTTCAAATGCTAAAAAGTATCATAGTCTTATAAAACGCTGTTATTTTTGTGAGAGCGCTTTTTCCAACAAAAAAAAAACATTGTCTTTCAGGTGAAAATTGTCAGCTTAGGAGAAAATCATGTGCATGACAAAGAAGTCAAATTCGTAGGCAAAAAGGCCCAAATAACTCACAAGGCACCAAACGTTGAAGTTTGAGAATTACCATCCGGATAATTGTCCGATAAACATAGTGTGTCTGCGAAAAGCGTCTCCCCGTCATAGAAGTAGTTCAGCTCCAGCTAAAAATATTCAAGTAAAGATTCAAATAATTACCTTGGAAAAGAAACACCTGTTAGAGAATTGAATATTCATTTTTATTTTTTTGGCTTTTTATTCAAGCCTGGATTGACATCCTTGAGTGCAGCACATAAAAAATAACTATATAGATTTAAGATGCTACAAATTCTCTTTTTTTGCTCTTCATTCATAGTAGAACTACTTTTTGCGACAATGTATGAGCAGGGCACGGCACAGGTGGCTTAGCAAGCAAGCTGGATATCGTTTTTGGGGAAAAAGCAAAGGGGATATCGTTTTTGCGGAAGAGCATAACGTTGTCTTTCGACCTGCGGCCGGCACGCTGTCGGCATGCCGCTAGCAAATAAACAAAAGGTTTGTTTACAGCGAAGTGAGGATGAAATGACACCAAAATAGGTGTGTAGATGGACAATGGGGAGTTAGAACTAAGTATGAAAAATTACGAAGAAATTATGTGAACTAAAGGCGTGCTCAACTTTTTTCGGAGTTAGGTGCCTCTCAAGCCACCTGGATAGCCACCTGATGTGGCTTAGGAAAAAAAATCATAAATTTTTCCTCCCTCACATAATTTTTCTACTTTCTTTACATACTTTTCATCTACATCCCAAACCCTACAAACTGGTTCCTAAACCGCCTCAAACCCCCTTCTCCCCGCTTAGTTACAGCCCCTTGGAAATTTTGAATGGCCACGGAAAGGCTGCTCTAGGCGCGTATTGCTGCACGATGGATACATCATGCCGCCATTCCGGAGAATATGAATATCATCGCGTGTGTTCGATGATTCTTTTTCGTTTTTTTTCTCTGCTGTTGCTTTGTTCCTTTCCTTTTCATGTATTTTCTCTTCGAATATCTCGTGGCGGATATCGTAATTTTATTGAAGTCAAAGGGGACTTCATTTTTTGTAATTTCGGGACGCCACCTCGTGCCGAGCCCTGGTCTAGGGTCAAAGGGGACTGCGTAAAAATTCGCAAAAGTCAAGGGGGATTTCGTTTTTTTGCATTTTCAACTAGCCACCTCGTGCCGAGCCCTGATGTATGAGGAAAGGAAGGGGAGTTTATTCATAGATTACTTTTTCAAAGTCTAGTTCAGAGTGAACGTTAATTTTTTTTTCAAATTAATGTGCAGAAAAGCCGTCAATGTAAAGAAAGGAATTACTATTTTATTGCTGCGGATCTGGATTTTGTCGAAACAAGCTTTTAAACCCTAAGTGGCTATCTAATTAAAAAAATTTTTTTTTTCGGACTCTAAAAGCACTTGCCGAGTTCAACAATTCTCATCTGTAGTTTTTTCATTTCTTGACAATGTGGGGGAGCGTTTGTCTAATACTTGCGAATAGCTCTCTCACGTCATCTACGACGTAAAAAATGTAAATATGCATCAGCCAATTCAAAGAACCTTTACGCTCTACATCACAATGTCGTCATGGTGACGTAAGACATGAGTGAGGTGAATAACCAAATAGGAAACTTCCTTTGAGGAAATGAATTGAGAAAAAAGAGACTCTTATATCAGACAAGCGTCATTTATGCAGACCTCCGCAGCTATTTTTGTCGTCCAAACGTATCTGCTATGGTTTTTCTCGTGAAACCCTAGTAAAAGCTCTTTTTGAGTCAGAAGATTATTTAGATGCTTTTTTGTACTATCAGGGAACATAAATTTTGCACCAAAAACTTCAAAAATAAATTTGAATGCTTAAAGCAGTGTTTTCTGTAATTCTACACTGTACTACAAACAGTATTCTATCGTATACATTACAGATTTTATTTCAAACACTATCAAAATCGGAAATGAAAATTTTGAGATCGCAACTTTTCGTAGGGTCCTCCTATCAGACAAATCTATTTCAGTTGGAAAGCGTACGTTGTATTTCTTAGTCAAAAGTAAAATTAGAAGTTTCTGGCCCTTTAATTTTGGGAATGATTGGATAGCAAGTTCTGAGTTTTTGTTCCACGGCTTCTGTTGCCTCGATAACAATGGTGACTTTTGCTTTGAAACTAGAAAGAGTAAGGTTTTCTCTCGATGTTGATAAAAATTTTATTCATTCTTGAGAAGAATACAAATTTTTTAAGAATTTTGATTTAAAACTTGTATTCCAATCTTATATATTACCGATGAAAAAATTATATCTTTGCTGTCGATTTCCACAAAACCGTTTTTTTCCTATCAGCCTGCATTTTGATAAAATCGTTGATTTGACTACAAATAATCATTTGTGATTAAGCCAAGACCCTTGTCTGAGGCAAGAAAAGACCAGGGCCGGTATGTATCAATCTCCCGAACCGCGCCCGGGCGCTCCTTAACCATTGGAAATGAACGCCCTGGCGGGAGCGGGCGCCCGACCCATGATGTATGAAACTCGCGGGCGCCCAGCCCGGACGGGCAGGAAAGCGCGATCTCGCGGGTTCGGGCACTCGCGACGTGAGATGCAACTCATCGCCTTTTTTTTGCTGAAATTGGTGAGTTTTTCATTTTCTTTACTTTGTTAGGCCCTCCCTCCTTACTGAAGAGTTCCGGGGAGGGCTTACTTGTTGATTTTTTTGTATTTGTGCTCCGTCTAAGGGAAGGAACGAAACGGAAGCTCGTTTTCTTTATCTTTTTTTGTTCAATTTGAATTTCTATCTTAGTAGTTAGGTTTTACAAGTAACTATAATGTGCATGATTATGGTTTGCATGCAGTTTAACTACATTATTCAATGTGTTGTCTGTTTTTTCCCCACATATGTTCCCAAAAAAGAATTTGAACGTTTGCCGCAAGCAATAGGGGGAACATTGTGATTGAAATTTTTTGAGTTTCTTTCCTCATTTGAATGGGATTCTTTCTTTACAAAGTTCTGAGAATGTTTTTGGTTCTAGGTGCCAAAATGCTGCTGTTTGGAGAAGGAACAACGCTTAAGCAGATTGCATAGGCAAGTTTCGGTTTTGGCTCCAAGCACTTTGTACATATGGGAGTTCTATTTCTCTTGAGTATGTCTTTACTTCATTCTCAATATCTACCCGTTTATTCTAATAGATTGGTGTTAGTGAAAAACTCAAAGGAGAAACTGTTCTAGACGTTGCGGAATGCGCGTCGGCCGTGATTACTCACGGCGCACCAAAAATAATATATTTTACGCCTAATCTCGCTATCTCGGATTTTGCACATTGCACACACATTCGCCACTGCTTCCCCTTTTATGCGCTATTGGTGAGTTCTTCAACTTTTTTGGTTTTCTTTTCGTTTCTTTATGCATGATAAGCAAACCAGACAGAATCCTGTCTGGTTTTTGCTCTTTTTTATCATCTGGTCGCAGGCTGTGCCTGCTTTTTCACCAAAATGAGATTTTATGGTTTTGTTGATCATTGATTTTTTGATTGATACCTCCTTGCTTTTGTGTGATGTCACATTCTCATAGAAATGTGTCTCACACACATTGTAGAGGAGGATCATTCTTCTTCAACAAGTTGATGATGTATCTGTTTGCAAGTATTTCAAACACAGTTTCCAAACACAATTTCCATCTTCTTCGATCGGTTGCGGACAAAAATAAACACCCGCCTTCAAAATCAAATTCGCTGACAAGGGCCTGCAAAAGCACAAAAAAGTACGTTAGGGGACAGAAACTGATAAAGAAACACGCACGGACACAAATTCGGAGAAGAAATGCACGAAATGGGTGAAAGGAGTCACTCCCAGAAGGCGCCAGGAGGCATATCACATATGCGTCAACACGCTGCTTCTGCTCCCCAAATAGGCAGTCCGGGCTCTTGCCCGAGTACCATCCCAGAATGGTGCATCGCGGGTGCGGGCGCCCGTGCCCGGTCGGGCAACGACCCAGACGGGAACCCCTTCCCGAGTGGGAGATTGATACATACCGGCCCAGAGGTAGAGTAGTTTGATTGGGACAACCATGAATGGCCTTTGCAATTTCTTAAAATCGGACTTTGGCTTGAAAAAATTTTCGCATTATTTAAGAAACTGGATCTAAAATTTCCTAAATACTTGAGGCAATGAGATTTTTTCATTGAAAGGCATCAAAATGTCTTAAATATCTTTCTCTATCTCAAATTACATCTTCCCTTAGCATGCAATCATTTATACACAGCGCAAAGAAAAGGTTAGATCACTTTACGTCTCGTTTAAATGTCGAAAGAGCTATACAGCTTATTTTTGCACACATCAATTAATATTTATTCGAAAATGGATCTGTTTGACAGCTTGTATGGCAAAACATCTTTACGTGCAAATCAACTAATGCCATATTATTGCTGAAAAGCGAAAAATCAAAAATTCTTACCTTGGACGCAAGAAAAGCTGGTATACCACAAATTATGGCAAGTATCCATATAAGGCAAATAACTGCCACCGTAGCATGTTTTCCAGGACGTCTTCGCATTGGATGCACAATGGCCCAGTACCTAAAAATAGTATTTTTTGTAATAAAATTTGCAAAGATGATTCATTATAGTCGATAACAAATCGATAAATCGATTTAAAAGCTCACCTGTCAATGCTCATCACTATCATAGTAAATACACTAGCACATATTGGCGTAATTCCCATCATGTTGTTAAAGCGACAGTAGAATGAGCCTAGCCTGAATTTTGTAGTAAAACTTTTACGTTGTATACATATTTATGAAAAATCTAATTGTTTGCATTTATATATAAATTAACCAGTCATTTTACTCGCGCAAACTTTGAGCTGACTTTATTAACAGATAAGTTAAGGTGTAAGTCGCCCTTTCTTCAAAAAAGGAAAAAACCCCCTCTCCCGCTGGAATTTTTTACCACCGTCTTTCCCAAACCCTAGTATGTCCTCAATATATTATTTTCAGATAATAAATTTTGAATGTTTTGCAATGTTTCGCGTTCGTATAAACGCTTTACTTTTTCTAACGACCACTTGCATGCAGTAGGCAAAAGCATCCATTTGGGGAATCCAACGTTTTTGCATTTGGCCTACTGTGCAAAATTTGCCCTCTTTTAATAGGGACCCTAAATCAGCCACCTTTTCCACAAAATTTGAAAATTCTCTCAATTTGGCTGTTATGCCCCGCTATCTTGCTTGAAGAAAACATCACTTCAATTCTACATACATATGACTTCTTTGTAGTCTCTTGACCTTATGTGGTCAAACGTAAATTGCGATGTTGAGAATAGAAAATTGGACAAAAGAGATGAAAAAGAGAAAGAGAAATGCTATAAGTGATTTCTTAGGAAAAGGCTCGTATAAGAGAGCGTTAATCTTTTAAGGCGCGTCGGGAAAAGAGAAACAAAGTTATAGAGGAAATATGAGATTGGGATCAAAAAAGCGTATGTTCTTCTCATAGCGTAGTACTGTTAGAATGATCTTTGACAGCGTTTAATCAATAATAAAAAGAAATGTTTTCAATTCACAATGTATAAACAACCAAAAGGCTCCATTTCGTTCTTGCCCTTGGAGTGAAAGTATTTACAGACTTTCCCCGGAACTCAAAAAGGTATAGGAAGATTTTGCTTACGTTAAAGAGAAAAAGATACCCAGAAATTAAAGCGCAGATCTTCCTATGAATGTTCATTTTGATTGACCCAAACTTGTCATATCTAAATGGTATTTTCCAAGCACCGACTTATTAAGTTAACTACTAAAGCTCATTCTTAGTACTCCTATAGGCGAAAGGTATACGGTCGAGCAAGTTTCCTTCGCGAATATGTGCAATTGCACTTTTTCCAGTGTTTGGGCAATAACATTTGAGGAGTTTATTATCAGTATTCTTTATGATCGTCATATAATTTTTTCCTTAGCTACAGATTTACGGAAACATTCAAGCTCAATGCCTAATAATTTCAACTGCTCGAAGAGCAATGCTTTAGTAAGATGTTCATCTCTCTCTTTCTCATCCCTCCTTAGCAATACTGCGGAAAGCTTTGGAAGGCCTCATATGAGATTTGAAAAGATGTTTTTTTGCTTGAAGTCAGACATATAACTCTTTGACAAAAATCGTAAAAGTAATATCATGGTAAAATTGGTAGTCTGGGAAGCTTAACGTCATGTTTACTGCCTTGGAAAAAGAACGAACATCCTGCTTTTTTGGGCACAATGGTAGCAATCCTACTTTTATGTTCTTTTTAAGAATGAGATTCCCTGAAAGTGGTGCTCTCCGTTGCTTTTCTGCTCTTGAAACCAAGATGATGAAAAGGCCGTCTGTATAGCCAATGGCGGTGACCAGACATTCGCATGTTGTGCAAAAAATTATTGACATTCATTGCCAAGTTCGTGTCTTTGGATAGCTTATAGAAAACGGAGATATGCTGAGCATTTCGAATAAAGTACTGCCACCCATATCCTTGCATGTTTTGTTGTCAAATAAAGACTAAAGCAGACTGCTATAATTTAGAATGCTAGTTCAACAACATGTAACTAATGTGACTTATAGGAAGAAAAGGACTGAAAAACGTGATATCCGAATAAGCAAAAGCAGTGAAGTTACAAAAACAACAGAAAAATCTCAAAAGCATTGGGTAAGTCTGTAACAATCCTAAGGTATCGAAAACAAATGAAAAATTTTCTTCAATAAGTTGTGGTCGCGGTACTATACCTGATAGACACTATTCTCGAGGATTTTTATTTTTTTATCTTATTTATTTTACTATTTTTGAAAACAAAGTGAACACCAACTACTTTTCTAAGATAATTTGAGAAAAACGCTGTGGCCTTTGCTAAAAACAAACGATTTATACGATTTAACTAACTTTATCGATTCGTTTTTTCAAGGAAAACTCAGAAAAAGGTGAATCACCATTTTTACGAAAATCAGACTTTCTGCATAATATAGCAAATCCCCCTATTTTCAGAATGTATCAAAAATGTTTTGGGAATGTTCACTATGCTTATAATGCTACGCAAGTAGATTTTATATACTTTCAAAATTTGGAATATTTCTACATATTTTTTGTATCGAGTTGTGGTTATTTCAAATGCTGTGGATTTCAGTTTATGTTAGTTTAGTAGTATCAAACTACCTTTCAAATCTATTGCCTGATCATTCATGGTTTTGTACTTCTCTTGAGTTCAATTTTTTTTTTGTTTTCTAATGACTACTGCCTAGACTTTTGGGTTGTAGGCACACTTTTTTAGCAAGAAACAAAATAGATAAAGATATTCTCTCTCCCTCACAAATTACTCAGAATCTTCTTGGTGCCCTAAGGCTCACATGTAATGTAGAAAACTCAGAATGTTATGAAGCGTGCTTGCTTATTAAGCTTCGACACTAAGTAAGAGTAAACCTCAACATAACATTATTATTTTTGATTACTTTATAACAGTGGCGTACCCAGGATTTCGGCTCGGGGGGGGCGCGGCAAAAAAAATTTTTAAATGAAGGTGCGTGGCGTTAGCCACGCACTCCGAAAAAATTTTAGGGGGGCTTCTCAACAATTCTGCGGGCCCCCAACCCCTAAAATCTGGAAAAAGGGGGCGTGGCGTCAGCCACGCCCCCGAAAAAAATTTTTTTATAAGGCTGATTTGAATTTTTAAAAAATTTTAAAAATTATTTTAATTGTTTACAAAAATAAACAAGTCATTTGCACATTTTTATAACGCATGTAAGTAACTTTCAAAAATTTTGCGACCCGTTCTCGGGGGGGGCGCGCGCCCCCCCCCGCCCCCCCCTCGGTACGCCACTGCTTTATAAGGATATCCTCATATATTACTGTACTTTCTTGTCTGGCATATCTCCTTTGAATAGAGATCCCCTGCTCCCATCCTGTAAGAACTCTGATCTCTCGAAAGTTCCTCAAGGCTGGCTCGAAAAAAATATTTTTCGAAGAAGAATTAATTAGAAATTGCGATGCGCCACTAAAGTTCCCGTCTTTTGTTTTTGCTTTGTGCTGCTGTCTCTCGATGATGCTCACAGCGTATATGCAAGAGGTTTTTTTTGTAATGAAAGCTCTCCGATTACAATCAGTTCGATTTGTCTGAGATGGAGTAGGAAGTCATGCGTGCAGGAGAGAACGGCATGGGAATGCATGAAAACGAACTTGAAAAAAAAATCTATGAAAAAATAGACTATCTAGTACTTGGCAAATATAAACGGACAAAATCATTATTATCCATGCAAAGCAAATCAATTACCAAGATTACGGAATATTATAATCGAACACTTGTACTATGGTTTGAATATTTGCGAACTGTCCGACAAAGAAAGACTTTTTCAATGTTTGCTTTCGAAAAAAAACTTTTGAACACTGAACTGGAAAATTCGAGATTGAAAAGTACGAAATTTTTCGCAAGCAGGAATAGACGGCAAAAGCTAGACAGGAATTTATCTTGTTGGTTTTTCCAGAATATTACGTTGGCTAAAGAATGAATTCGTTTTGGCATGCAGTCTTCATGGAAATTTTTCTTGCTGCTTTCTCCATGATTTTTTGTAGAAAAGAGCGCAAATCTTTCTCTATCACAGATTAAATATTTAGGATTTTCTATCATCAGTAAAGACAGATATGCCTCATGGTTAAATTTCCAAAAGCTCATTTCTTCAACTTTCTAACAAGGGAATGGTCAGAAGTCGAAGTGGCCAATCCAAACAAGCTGTATACCATTCGATGCGGTATAAAACGCTGACTTTGAATCTGTCTTCCTTATCTGCTTCCCGCTTCTGTGGATGAAGCTACAAGCGGTTTTATTGTGAAAAAATCACACATAAATACAGCGAAATTGAGCACACTGTTGCACTTTTAGCTCACCTTCTTTCTCTAAAAATTTGAAGTAGGCTAGACGCATGTTTTGGCCCAGCGTTAAGGCGAACGTGACTCTGCACGGCTAAATTTTCAATTTCACGCGTAATTTCTTAGTAAAATAATGGTCTTTAGTGGCTTGTAGCTTCGTTCACAGAAGCGGGAAGCAGATAAGAAAGACAGATTCGAAGTCAGCGTTTTATACTGCATCGAATGGTATACAGTTTGTTTGGTTTGGCCACTTCGACTTCTGACCATTCCCTTGTAAGCTTCGTTTTCATGCTGTAATGGAAGTAAAGAGCAACATTTTGGTATTTGGAGGTTTAGAGATAGAGAGGAGATAAATAGGAGTTTTCTATTATATATTTAGTGGATAACGTTGAAAATTGTAATCTGCCATTTTTAAAATCTTTTATTAAACAAACCAAATTTCCTCTTATTTGCGCACTATGAGAAAAATGTGGTTTTTCCTTTTTTTGTGGTTTTTTCTCGGAAAATATATTCTTCTCAAACAGAATTGATATTTCAATTTTCAATGAAGTGCTTTTTGCAGAGACACCAAACACTGGACAAAAATATGTTTCCAGCATTTGTTAGAGCCGCAAAAGCGACCAGCTTGACAATTTCTATCAACAATTTTTTAAATATTCACTTTTTAAGGTCTACATAATTTTCATGATCTTTACGAGTTTTTGAACCTGCTTTCATCATTTATTTCTTTAGCGTTCTGGACTGACTTTGTACACAATTTTTTGATAAAATAAAGGTAGAGGTAGCCTGGAAAAATTGAAAAGAATAATGCTCAGCGCTTTTTCAAAATTGTGGCAAAATCCTGAAGTGATTCTCTTTCTAAGAACCATGTGAGTAAACATGACTCCGCATGTGCATATTTTCTGAGATTCTCAAAAGAAAAATTTGATCCATCCTTTGATGATTCAAGAAATGTCTTTTCTTAGGGCTTCCCCCCAGTGGAAATATTTAGTAAGTGACCCCAACGAGAACTTTCGATTTTTGCGTTTTCGCGTCTTTCGGGTTTCAAAATCAAATTTCTGAAGTGCGGCAAGTGGGTGAAGAGACAAATTGTGTTACGATCTTCTTGAGGTCCAAAACACTCAGCAGATTGTCGATGACTTTGAACTTTCGAACAGAAATGGAGATTTCCGGCGTCCACAGTGAAGATTGCACTTTTTCATTATTTTTCAGGAGTGAGAAAGCTTATTTTTGTCTTTTCCCTCTCTTTCCTCCCCCCCCCTCTTCCTCCCCGTCACAATCCTCGTTGCAAATTTCTGTGCACTGAAGCGTGCTCGTCAGACGCACACGCATATTTTTTTCTAAAACGTCGTTTAATAACCCCTTTCACTAGCAAAAAATATGTTCGTTTTCTTTCCTTTGTATGGAATCATATAGAGTGCATTATGCTTACTTTTTCTACCAGTTCCACTTTAGCAATCAGAACGCAGACAATGAAAAAGTTTCATTAGCATGCCGAGCAAACAGTGCGACACTATAACGTCTAATAGTCTGCTGTCGTAAGAAACAAAATTCTTCAAAAAATTTCAGCACGGGATCCATTAAGAGGTTTCTCCCTTTCTTACCCCGACCCCGGATCGCAAAAAATACTTTGCTATCTCAAAATTAGATTTTTGATCTAGGCTAGGATTCATTGCAGCAGAGCTTATACGCGTAAATAACATCATTAGTGAGCTGTCATGATTGGTTTCCTCTCATGCAGATTGTTGCTCAAACATTGGATTTCAGATTTATTATTGCAAAACAAAATTTTGCTATGAATATTAATATGCTCAAAAAAGTCCGAGATGATTTATTAGGGGATTCAGCAATTACTAACATATTTTCTGGAAAATAGGAGAGTTTGGAATCTTTTAGAAACCGTCAGTTATTTGGAAATCTCTATATTCAAATAATGAACAGGGCAGTTTGTAGTTTCAGTTGTGATGGAATACATATGAGGGGATTAAAGGGAGGGGGAAGAGGGGAATGTGGAATTGAAAAATATTCTTTTGTTCAAAATACTAACATAAGCTTTTAACTACTGTAGATCTTTTTAGTCACAGGCTCATAAATTTTTGAAATGTAAAAAAACTTGAAACTGAACTTAGAATGAATTTTGCTTAAGGACGTCTTCAACTTACTGTACATTTTTTTATTTACACAAACTTCTAATTTTTTGATAATTATTTTTCAGGGCGGCTTTTGAAATGGGGAAAAGTTGATTAACGAAGCTTGGGATGGCCTGGCTACTCACGCTCTGTACTCAAAAAATCATTGTCTCTCTTTTTCCCCTGTCCTCCTTCCCCAAGAAGAAATTATTCTGACATTTTTGCTTCACCCTTGATCAAACTTCACTTAATAAACAGCTTATGATCAGCTCAGATTATTCTTTGATATGTTAAACTGCGAAAGATTTCAAGAGGAAGCCCTTGCACTGCTTGCATTTCGAAAAGTGATTCCTGCACAAAGATTATTTTTTGCTCAGTTGATTTCGAAGTTCACAACACACAAACCAAATACAAGTCGAAAAAAATTCCAAAAATGTGATAACTTTTGTTGCACCGGAAAAACAGAGACCCACGAATTTTTACGTCAAAGGCGAACTTTTGCTTTGAGATGAAGCTTAGTACAAAAATCTTTCAAAAGGGTAAGAAGTTTCAGTTTCACACTTTGAAAACATGTTATGGTTATGACGAAAAAAGTACTTCGAGTCGACTTTCGCCCATCGAAAGGGCATTTTGAGGAAATAAGCATTCTCTGCTCTCTTCTTTCATTATGTTTATTAGCTACTCCTTGAGCCAAGAAAGTGATGGAAAAAACGACGAAAATAAGAGCTGTATGTATGTTATGCAGTGTCAGAAAATTTAGTTTTTATGTCTCAGCAGTATATAGAAAGATAGATTTATATTTTTCGGATATGTTTAGAAAACGATATACAGAAAATTTTTCCCTCTCTTTGTCTTTCAGGCTCAAAAATACCAGGAGAATCAAAATGAAATAGAGTGAGTCTTTTCAAATTTGCACACATTTGATCATTTTTGAGCTTTCCTTTTGGGAATTTATACGAAAAAAATGTATGAAAAAGGATAAAAAAGAAAAGAAGTTGGAGAGGTTTTGTCGCAAATGTTGCCAAAAGTTCAAGAGTTGACTATTTGTTTGTCTTTTTTCCGCTCTATTGAGCGCTATGTTCTTTCAGTGGATTCGTGATAAAGTAAGCTGAGCTAAGGAAGTCAAAAAGAGGAAAGAAAGAGTGAGGAAGAGTGCATCCGCAGCAATCGACGCTTTTAAGGGATAAATTTGGATAGAAGAATTTATTTTGATAAAAAATTTAAATTCGATATGAAAGCTCTTCTTACCGTATATGTATTTTATTCTATTCAGGCGTTCAAGCTCCAAATGAATACGATGAATTTAATAAAAACACTATAACCAAATAGATATTTCTCATGGGTGGACTGAAGACAAAATTAACTTTTTCTGAACTCATTAACACTTTCAAGACAATACGACCCATCGGTGGGTCGTGCGTGCTCTGCCATTTCGGACATCACGACCCATCGGTGGGCCGTAACTTTGACAAAGCGAAAAAGGCTCTGACCCGAAACGGCAGTGATCGAAAAATCGGCTGTGTCGTGAATGTGTTGAATAAGTTTTGACAGTTGTTTGAAAATTATGTTTTCTTTGGTAATATGAAAAAAGTGAACAATATTGAGCTGACAAATCTGCATATGAATTAATATTAATTCAAAGATGATATATTTCGAGACAGACATTTATAGGAGTGAAAAAATACTAGAATTATAGCGTTAAACTGTAACTTCGTTAAAAATCTCTTGGAAAACTCACTTCCACACGTAGTAAAAATTGTATGACCATGAAAATCCCGTGTTGAGTATTGATATTGAAGCATCGGCAACGGCCAAGTTTAAGAGGTAGCAATTCGTTACCGTTCGCATCTGCTCATGTCGTAACACAATCCTAAATGAGTTTTGCGTCAATAAATAAATGAATTATGACTTGCTCCAACACCTGCTGTGATACAGAATCTTAGTGCTAAAGTATAGTGTACAAAGTATACTATAATCTGCTAGATTTGATGGTTCTTATAGCGTTTTTGCGTCGCCAACAACACTTGCGCGTGAGAAGCTGTTATAGGCAGTGTCCGCGCAAAAAGTCGATTTTGAGATTTTGTGTTTATCCGGGCCTATTCACTATGCTGAATCCGAAAATCCACATTGGAAAGCGCAAAAACGGCAAAAAAGGGCTCTAACGGAGGAGGGAAATCGAAAGTGGGCGGGGTCCTCCCCATTGTGAATTTCGCAGTCCCAGCTTCTGGAGCGATCTTCCCAATTCCCCTAGCGCCCTGAGATCTCCACCGGCCAGGTCCGAATGCATGACTTGAAATCGGAACGGAGAAGATCGTTCTGGAAGCTGGGAGCGTGAATTCGCAGTGGGGAGGACCCCGCCCACCTGCTGATTTCCCGCCTGCGTTAGAGCCCGTTTTCGCCGTTTTCGCGCTTTCCAATGTGATTTTCGAAGTCAGCATGGCGAATAGGCCCAGGTAAGCACAAAATCTCAAAATCGACTTTTTGCCCGGACACTGCCTTTATGGGCCGCAAAACTTGAAGATGTGCTTTCTACGCTTTCTACTTTTTTACGCACAAGTGCTGCAAGAACCGCAATAGCACTATTTTAACCAAGCTACTGCACTCTTAAGCTGCAACAGATAAAAAAGGATAAACTTCATAAAAAGAGCTTTTCGCTTATTCTTAAAGTAATTATTTGAATTTTATGGTTTACGATGATAAGAATAATAAAATGAAAGTGAACGACATTCTTGGAGGCTAAGCCTCTATTTCCCTTTTGAACCGATATCTGTCCTTATTCTATTTATCTTCAAAGTCTATCCATTTTGATATTGGTAAAGTGGACCTAATTATTCCCTCTGCACATATCTTCGGAGTGTGACTGGTTGTTATTTATAGACAATTTTTTGATTGATTTCTTGCTCGCGCATCTCAAATGTATCAAACACATGTAGGAATAAAAGATTAGATAAACAAGGAGGTCATGAATAATGGAAGTCTCTAAGTGGATCGCGAGAAAATGCACATTTTTTTCAGTATTCAGATATTCTCATATGGAATTTATTTGTTGTAAACGTCTAGTTCTCCCTCAAATTGGAATACTTTGTTTTAAGCATTTCAAAAATTTTGGGCTATAAAAAGCATGGGAAGACTCTTATCTATTTCTTATCAATGCTCGCATTTTTGGAAGCTGCTTGCTAAAACGCGCAATCCAAGGAAAAATTAGCGAAAATTCCGTTGAAGAGCAAAATCTAGTTTTTACTCCCTTCATTTCTTCTAAGTTTACTGAAGGATCTGAAGCAAAGCACATCTAACAATAGGAAATTGGAAGATTGCCAAATTTCCTGGACTTCCTTCACATAGAGTTATACATCTTAATAAGTATGCTTCAGTGGCAGATCCAAGGCGAAAGGGGGGAGGAGGGCACCCAGCTCTTGATTAGACTCGAAAAAAAAGAAGTGAATAAAAATGAGAAAGGGAAGCGAATTTTATATAGATGCGCAAGTGACTTGTTCACATTTGTAAGAGATCAAAATAACCCACAATTTTTTTTGAAAATTGAGATCAGCCTTGCAAAAAATTTCCCGTGAACCGCCAGCTCCTTTTTCAAAATCTCGGGTCAGAGAGCAGTACAAATTTCCCAAAGATTCTTGAAATGCGACCCAATCCCATTCACCTCCATTCGACTAAATGTCGCAGAATCTAAGCAATTTTCACACTTTCTGATTTGCCATTTACAATTCCCCACATGCGCCCATTCACTTCTTTTCTCTTTCGCCCATTTACTTCTCACTTTTACCAATTGTCCGAGAAGATTATGTAAATGCGCGCTCATTTGTCCTAGGTGGTGCTTCTGCGCTTAAAATCGATCCTATAGATGCTAAGAGTATTCACAATCTAGTTAACAGAATCTTATAATGAATAGTAATGTGAGGCCAGCTTCGGGGACACTTGGAACTAAAAGGAACTCCTGACAGTTCCTCGTAAGTCCACATTCTTCCCAGGACCCCCTCTCCATTTGAAGTTAGAGTGCTTTTCATGTCTTGGTTGGTAATCACACCCATAGACCCACAACTGACGTCACAGTGACTCGAATCGTAAGCAGATTTGAGCGAAATATTGCCACTCATTAAAATTGCAATTTATGGAGAGCAGGTGAAACAACTTAGATTGAATCTGAGCTGGTCATAAACTGCGTTATTGAAGTGATCTTTGTCTAAAGCACCAACATTTGCCCTTTTTTGTTGATTAGGGGATTATAGCCGGTTTGAACAGGTGGAGTGAGAAGTAAAGTTTATTCTTTCATTCAAATTATTTTTGTCCAAGGTCATGTGCTTTTTTTAGAACGGCTATAATGTGCTCTAAAAGTCCAGTCTGGGTCCAAATATTCTGGATAAGTTTTAGAATAATCAGGTTCCAAAGGCTACTTTGCTATTCACCCCCCCTCCCCCCTACCTTCCTCTCCCTGCTCTCTCTCTCTCTCTGGCCTTTTGATAGGCTCAAAGAAGATATGTAGACTATGGCCATTCAAAATTGCTTTTCTCAGCAGAGAGTCAATTGCTTTCCCTTTGCGCATGCTTGGATTTGAAATAAAACAATTTGTAAAATTTCAATTTTAGCAGTACAAATTGCAGAACTCAGAAGGTTATGGTTAAATGCCTGTGAAAGTCTTCAGATCCTCCCCCTTTCTATTCTTGCCCTTTTGACCGTTTTTTTATAGATGAAAAATAAGATCGAAAAGCTAATAATCAAAAAGAACCGAATTGTTTGAATTATTGTGAAAGTCTAGGTCAGTTGTTTGGAATCAAATAATTGAATTTATCACAAAGCTGAAGGCTACTGATTTATATTTTACGAAACCAGTGGTTTTCTCTAGCGATTCAGATCATCATAAGGTTTTCAAACCAGTGGCTTGAAAATTCAGTTGTACATGAATTTGAAGATAATGATTTTGGAGTTCTCCATCCAACTTTTTGCAACGGTTTCAAATTCAGTTTCAAAACTTGTTTGAGGTATAGCAGACATTAATATTAATAAGATAAGAAATTAATAATTAATAAGATACAGAAATTAATAAGATTAGAATAAAAAACATCAAAATGGGAATGGATAATTTGAGGTCCCTTGTGCAACTATACCAGCAATTTGTGAGTGAGCTTTCATGAGTTCCAACTCCATTTTGCAATTTTTTCGGATACTATCGCCACGAACAAAGAAAACCTAATTAACCGAGATGCTATAAGGAAGAAAAGAAAAGCCGCCACTTATGTCAACGAATTCCAGGAAAAAGGCTAGCAAGCTTCCAATTAAGCGTGTGTTTATAGGAAGTCAATTAGAACAGGATTGCTTCATACAAAGAGAGAAAAGAGAAACATATGAACGCGAGGATACGCGCGGGCGAAACTGAATATTTTTCTTCGACTGGAATTGGAATTTGTCGGTTTCTAAAATAGAGCATCCAGATTAGCTGGGAAGTAGTATTGTCTACGCTGCGAGTTTTTTCGATCTTAAGAGTTTCCAACCTATGATTCATAAGTCACTTGGACGCAAGGACGTCTGTATAGAATTTCATTGCAATCTAGAAAGAACTTTTCCAAAGAATTTTTTCTAGGGATTTCTGTGAGCAAACATACGGGATCAAATAATTAAGTACATAGCATTTGTCAAGCTTAAGCTACTTCGGCAAGCTCAATGCAACTACTTTTGTGAAAAAGGATTGAATTTATTTCCTCCCAGAAGTCAAAAATTGGTGAAAATTTTGCTAGCGCAGGCGCAAAGTTCAACTTACAACAACGTACTATCCATTCATGAAGTATCGGTTACAATGATAGAGTAAGTAACCTGCAATTGAAAATAATTCAGATTGGCATTCCATGAAATCACTGAAAATTTCCAAGAAATGTAAAATTAATGAATTTTGACTAAATGGTTATATGTCGTTTTCGAATTCTTGCTGGGAATTTTTTAGCTCTCTTGCCACGGGTATTGAATGTGTGATGCTTCAAGTAAACAAATATCCTCTGTGTGTACTTTTCTTATGTGGGAAAATGAGAATATTCAAGAGATGTGACGTAAATCGAAGAAAAGGGTTTTGGAACTTATTGTTAGATCATTTGTGATTATCAACAAAAACAAGTATTAGTAAAAAAGGTTTGATCTTTTTCTGCAGAAAAAACATGCACGGCTTTTTTTAGCAAAAAAAAACTGGAAATTGCGCTCGAGAATCCATTATAACAAATAACATTTGATAAATGCTCGTACGCTCTACTATTATTGTAATTCTTCTTATCCAATATAATGAGCTGACTTTCAAGTTTTTTTTTCAGCCAATTTGCTTTCCATTTGTTGCCTGGTTAAGCTGCTGACAGAATCAACTACGTGGTAATTTGATTCATGCACGCACAATATAAAAAACAAGAGGGGATTCAAAAATAAGCGTATCACTTTTTCTTGTAAAAGGTGTCAAGATATTCTTATAGTCTATTAAATATTACTGATATGTACAGGACCCCAGAAGGATGGTCTGGTACATCAAATGACATATGATGCTATGGGAACTGAGCCAAACCCACGATAAACTATTCAGACTCTTCCTTTTCTGGGGTCTCATTTTGAGTCAAAGTGAACTAATAAATAACTAATAGGAAGTAGAGAACTTCTATTTGATTTTTGGTTTTTGAGATATCAAAAGATTTATTAAATTGTTCATGTCATAGTTAGCTGCCACTATTCTTTCCGTTTGCACAATATACAGCAAAAGCTTAGTTTTTTTCAAGGATGAATGGGTATCAAGGGATATGTAGGAATTACACGGTACCGAAAAGGCATTGAAAACAATTATTCAGAGCGGATTTCCAAAGATTAGACAGTGCAACTCGGTGATGCCATTTTCTGACTTAGTGCAATCCAAAAACTCCCACGTCTTGAAGCTAAGGGATAGAATTAGTGGTTTTAACTTTTAGGGCATCTTAGGGGAGCCATCGCAACAAGATCTTTAGCGCAAGTAAAACGAAAGCGTTTAAAATTGAGTAATTCCTAACCATATAACAGTAAAATTTCCAATCAGCGCAAGTAATATAGTAGTAGAGAATAATAATATGTAGATGACTTGTGTGTAGATCGGATGATAGAAAGGAAATGGTTCACAATATAGAAAGACATCGAATTGTTTGGTTATGAGCTGTTCCATGTCATAGCAGCTACAGTTCGGATAGGCAGAATCATTGGCTGTGGATCCTGTTGAGGTTGATGGGAGCAGTCGAAGAGCAGCGAGGATCGAGTCCGCGCTGGCATCAGCCGGACGGGGGCAAGCCATTCCTCGGTTCTGTGCAGCCGACGGAGCACCGCCCCGTCTTTTACGGCGGGGGATATCGCCAGCCATGGTGCTGCTAAAAGTAATCAAGTTGCGACAAAAGTAATTGTGGGTGTAAAACATGTGAATAATATAGTCTATTTGTTTTTATTAGTTGGTGAAGTAAGGCCTCGGGCATACTTCACGCTATTTGGCAATTTGCCAGATGTCTTCAGATCAAGATTGACAAATATAAGTGCAAGTGTTGTGTACAACTTTCGTAGGTAAATAAAATGACCTCAATCTGTGCTTGAAATGCGCTTATGATGAGTTTGGACACTGGAGTATTGCCAATTCGCGTCGTGATTTACAGGGTGCGCCAGAATTACCAGCGCGTGTTTCCTTGGGTGCCAGAAGGATACTAGACGGGCTTGAAGAGCGATCAAGTATGCGTTTGTTTTCACCAACCATCACTATCGTAATGCAGTAGTCAAATCAGAATTTGGCTGCTTTATTTCTCGAAAAAATCTCAGTTCCTCTCGCCCACCGAAGTGTGCTCTGTACGCAAGCATGGCTTTGAGATATTGTTTAATATCTTTTCAACAACATTTTCTCCTGCTTTGTAATTGCGCACGAAAATAGAGCAAGTCTTTATCTCTAATGTAATCAAGTATGCAAATTTGAAAATTAACTCGAAGAGAATTTATGATTACTCAAGAACATGGTTGAGAGGCGGCATAACGAAAATTGGCGTGATTTTGGCCTTCCTGAGTGCACCTTAAGATCGGAAAATGTCTTCTAAATCAAATTCAAAACTATCTCAGCTAGTAGCTTCTATGTAGATGCTCTTCTACTTGTCTCACAAATGAGGACCTGTTTTTATCTGAAAGGTTTTGCATATTTGGGGCCTAATAATCGATTTTGAACATAAGATCATTGCTCGTACGCAGGTATTTTCCACAAATACGTTTTCTACTTAGTGAAGGAATAAATTTTGCAAATGCAGCTAGATCTGCGTGATAGTGCAAATCGTGCTCTACAATCGCAGCTTGAAAGGGTCTAGAAAAGCTTTGACTTTATTCAGTTACAGAGCAAATTATGAAGATATTGAAATTTCATTTTTGCCTTTCTTGTAAATACTGGTTTGATTCTTTTGATTCTTAAATTCTTAGAGATAGGTCTTTTTGAATTCAGTAAAATGTATGTAGAGATTGATTAATGCCTTCTATAGCACAAATTTGAGCTCGTATCTTTCAATGGTTCCTTGGTGGCAGTGTTTGTAATGTTGGCGCCGGTAATTTAGGTGCACCCTGTAAATTCGCGTGAAACATTTCCGAAATAGACGTAATTTTTTTTGTGAATGCAATTCGGAGCGACAGCCCCATGCACTCACTTTATTGGCAGTTGCTAATCAAAACCAGAGGTTTTTTAATGAATAGCACCCTTTCAAACTTGCCAGTTGGGCCATGTTCTTTTTCTCAATTAATCACTCCTATTCATCATATTATTGTAGAGTAGAAATGTATTCGATGTATTAATCATCATCATAACTTATATTAAGTCGCTAATCTGTTGGTCTGTAAGTTGGTCTGTTACGAAATTACAGTGAGGAATGCTTTACATTGCTTCAATGCATGTGAGAGCGGCATAACGAGTAAGGTTCACTTTTGTGGTTATTGATTAATCCAATACCATTACGTGAGTTTACTTAATAATTACTCAACACCTTTCATGATAACCAGTGCAAACCATTGCGAAGCAGGAGATAAGCACTAGTGTCTTTCAATAACCTCCGATCAGTTAGTCTTTGGAGCTGGTCTGCTACGAAAATAATGATGAATAATTTGCAGTACTTTTAAGCATGTGAGAATTGAACAAAGGAGAACTATTGTCCGGAATTAGCAGTCAGTCTTAGTGAGTGATCGAAGAACCAGCAAGCACCACGTAAGTTTAGGTATCTACGTTCCGTCACTGTTAGTGCGATCTTCTGTGAAACAGAGCTGACGCACTGGCTTGTTCATAACAATGTACGTACTCTTGATTCCACATTCAGGAAATGCTAATTATTCTTGTCTATTCAACCGGATAAAGGTGTGGAGCTATGTGGACGGCAATCTAAGAAGGGCATATGGAACATGCTGCATTGCTTTAACTATGTATTTTGTGTAATTATTCATATAGCATGCACAATTCGCAATGCTCTTATGCTCTACTGATTTGCTTACGGAGCGAGGATCAAGTACGTTCCAATTCAAATACGATCGGCGCGTCAATCAGACTCGAAATGAGGAAGAAACAACTAGATTAAAAATGGCTACAGCTACAATGGCTAAAGTCCATGGATCAGTGCAATGTGCAATTAGCTGCCACAAATTTCGCAATGTTAGGCAATAGATCTTTTTACTTTATCGTTATGGGCTGAAGAAACAAGAATACGCTTCTGGAGTGGAAATCACTAGGTAAAAACCCTTTCATAGCAGCTTGCCCTGTGCCTTTTTTTCCAATGGCCAAAATCTACGTAGAATTTGGAACACAAACAGATAATGAATACTTATATGATTACGATCATCCTGTACGAACTGTTATTGTCTTTACAAAAATATCGAGTCCTTCACTCACAAGTAGTCGGAGCACAACAATTCGCTTCTTCGCAACGGCCTTTCTCATTTTACTTCTCCTCACCGTGAGTTACTGTGCATACAAAAGCATCAGTTCATGAACTTGATGCTTTTGTATGCATAGTTTGGTTTTCCACAGACTCGCGGACCTTTTTGTCTATAATTCTTATTGGAAGTACACTTGGGTGCTTTTGTCGATGTTGGAGTGCCCACGAAAGACATTCCAACTGCGTAAAATAAAGTCATATAATTTTGATCCACTTGCATGCTTACATTTTCTTCACATACATCGCGTGTTTCGTTTACAAGTGGTTTTATGTATCGCTACATTCAAGGCGTGTCTGGTGTCTGGACAATGTCTGGAGTTGAAAAATTTTTGTGTCTTTAGTGGCATGTGCGAAAATTGAGAATTTTTGCGCAAATTTGAGGGGTGAATGTTTGCTGAGAATGTCCTAAAAGCATGCAAGCTTGATGTGCGACTCACAAGGGAAGTGTTTTGGTCGAAGTGGGCTTTTCATGTGAGACTGATACGACTATAAAGAGCATCGAATGCTGTTTCCAAATCTGTCTTCGTTATCTGTCGAATATGGGCGTCGAGCTATGAGCGTTTTTAGTAGAAAAATTGAATGCATGATTAGAACAAAAATCGTTTGAATTGCTCAAATGGTTTAATGTTAATTATAAGAGCGTTCCAGTCAAACATACCTCCTGTCCAAAACAATATGCTTAACACTGCTCTATTTGAGCGCTGAGGAAACCGTAAAAATTGATTTTACCTAAAATATGCATTCATTTTCGCACCAAAAAAGATGTTCATAACTCGGCATGCAGAAGCGCTCGGCAGATAATGAAATCAGGTTTGGAATCATCGTTTGCTTTCAAAGGCCGCTTTGACTAAACGGACCTCTCTTGTCAGTAATTTCCGCGCAACTCTGGAAGGTAAGGAAGCCGAAAAATCACTTAGCCTACTTTTTTGCTTAGAACCCAAAAGAAAAAAGAACAAACAAAATAAACGGTTTTTCTTAATTATTTCTGTAAGAATTTAGCACTGAGAGCAAAATTTTTCACTACTTATGACAAAGAAAGGTAACTGACTTAAAGTATTTTCATCCGATGCATACCTTATCATATCTGCCCATCTATTTATCGTATGCACTTGAAAAGCTTTCACTCTGATCACAAAACGGCCTTGCGTGTCTGCTGTACAAAACTCTTGCAAGGAAACGATTCTCAATGTCCGTGGCCTTTTGAGAAGAGGCATATACCATTACACTCGTCTTCGAACGCTGATTGGCCGCCTAAGGGAAATATGGTCATTGGAACGGCCTCTACTGCGGCCACGTTCTGGTCAAGTAAATAGGCGGTAGCCTTCATAAGTTGACGCAGGTGTAGGTTCAAATCCTTTTGTGTTTTTACCTTTGCACTGCCTCACTTGTTCGCGAAAATTCACTCGAATTATGATTACTGGATACATTTTAGTGGAAACAGTAATCATTTATTCTAAATCTACACATTTTTTGAAGAGTAAGGGCGTTCACTTAGCTCGAGGATGCGAAAGAAGGTTAACTGAGGCAAGGCAAAACTGAAGAACACAAAGGGATTCGAACCTACAACTGCATCAACTCATGGGCTTATCGCACTAACCACCAGACCACATCATAACGTTAGTGTTGCCGCTCCGACCGTATTTCACTGGACAGCCAAACTCCGCGCGATCCATCATAACATCTTTGAAGCGATTAGCAGAAACGCAAGTCAGACTCGGAATTAACGTTCGAAGACGAGTGTAATGGTATACATCTTATCTCAAAAGGCCACGGACACCGAGTATCGTTCCCTTGTTAGTTTTCTAAGGCGAAGTTTTTTCTGCCTTCAAATTATGTGTGCACATTTGTCTGGATGAGGCGATCGCAATAAACGCGGAACTTGTATATTCTCCCATGTGGTCAATAATCGATTGTTGTGCCAACCGAGTTGTCGGTGGATGCTGCTTCGACCGAGAATCAATGTGCTCGTTTTTACACGAGTTTCGACGTAATTACAGGCTGATTGATTTCCAGTACGCTGCAAACAGCTTCCTGCGCAAGTGCTAGTCAGACCTTGTCTGGTGAGAACAGTGTGAAATCTTCGAAAATGAGAAACGAGCCCACCTCAACCCTACAGCAAACTAGTAAGTCCGTACAGTGGGGTAGTAGCGGACGTCACTGACAAGAAAGTGCGCTTGGTCGAAGTGCCGATTTGGAAACGATGCATACTCACAGAAAAGGCTTCAAACGCTGACGCCAGAAATACTTTTTATATCCCCAATGCTTTCATCTGAGAAAAGTCATGAGCTTTTCTTGCCAGATTTCGTGCATTTTGAGTCGTAAAATCACGGTAGTTTCCACACAAAAAGCAGCCTCAAGCAAAGCCTAGTAAGTTTTGTGGGTCTATCTAATATCATCTAATCGTTTGCGAGTGTTGTTTAACCATGTCGT